GGCATGACTTCATCCACATTTAAAAGCTTTCAGCTTAAAGCTTTTACTTGCTTTGCACCAGGGGAAATTCAAGGATATGTTCAAAAACTTTAGAAGTAAGTCTCTCGTGTAATAACCTGTAGAGTCTCTCATAAACCACATCTTTCATCTGTGGAAGGGTAAAGAGCATGACATAGTTAAAAGTGTGTATCTTTATGATTTAAAAAAAAAGAATCACAGAGATTAAAAAAATCACTATAATTTCTGAAGAATGGTCTGATACAGATATTGACAATATGTACATCAAAAATTCCACAACACTGGAGAGGACAGACAAAAGCTGAGGTTTATAAACCAGTGTCTACTTCACCTGCATCCTTAGAAGACAGCCTTTTCTAAAGTTACCACTACAACATTGCTTAAACAAACAAAAAAATAATATTTTTTTAATTCTTATTATTAAAAGAATAACAGTTAATTCCAGAACTAACTAAAAAAAAATTTAAAAACAAATGTGTTGCAATCTCAGCCTCCCGTACTTTCTTTGGTTTCTGTGAAACGCAAAGGAAAAGTCGCCCCCTTAGAATTCTGTAAAACCATAAATTAAACAATCTCCATGTAATACAGGTCACCCCAGGAAAATGGAAAGTCCCTCTTAAAGACAAAATGTTATGACATGACACCAGGACAGTGAACTGTTATGGGAGTCTCACATCTTGTAGAGAATACAGTCATTATGTTGCCAGTTACAAAGTAGTGTAGCTGAAGTTATATGCGCTTGCAAAAAATGAAGAAAAACAAGACAACACAATTGAATGCACGGTGTTAACACCAAGAAGCTCTAGCTTGCATACTGAGGGAAACAACTACAATGAACAGAGGAGAACAAAGAAATACAATTTCTTCCAGGAAATAAAGGAGCAGTTAACTGGTATTGCAAGTAAGTACAATATTAAGCCACCATAAAGCAATAATTTATAACAGAAGCTCTGAAGTAATAAGACACTGCCCTGACTCTCTTTAACTACCTATCAGTCAGGTTCATAAAAACAATTTTCAATGTCTGTTTTTGGTGGCCTCAATTCAGAAAGGGTTGTTGTAGTCCTGTGTAAAAGCTCTGTCTAAATGATATACCTACCTTTGCCTAATACAAAATTACATGATCATGAAATTTAGCTGGCAAAAAAAGTGATAAAAATATTTTATTGGTTAGAGGAGTGTCTTTTCTTCTTAAAAAATTATTATTTATTTGAGCCAACTTTTTTGACCTTTGCATATTTTCAGTAAAATTGCTCTCTCAGATACTCTGGATACTGTTCTTCAGGGAGACAGTATTTTGGATGAAGTCAACACAAAGTGTTTTTACCCTACCACCAGTCACTAAGTGTTATTATCAGTTAAAGCACTTCTTCAAACACGTGACTTTTTAATTCAGATAATATACATACCCAAGCACTAACCCACAGAACTCAAGTTCCCAAAAAATAAACCCTGACCAAAATGAAGCAGTTAATTTAAGAACACAATCAAACAAATAAATAACACCAAAACCCCCAAACATTTCAGGGTCCTCTTCCATTCCTAGGTGCATACGTGCAGACACAATCACTGTGACCTACTGAACCATGAAACAGGAACCCAGCCGCCAAGGAAAATTCTTTGCAAATATTAACAGACTCCCAGTTGACTTCTTACAATATCAATCTTTATCCAAGAAATCACTATCTATTCAGCAGTGTTGAGCATATTTTCTTTATAGCAATATATGACTAAACATACAGTTATCAAAAGCAAGTGAAAAAACTTAATGACACAGTACGAAAAAATATACCATGCTTAATACATGCCTTTTTTCTTTCTAGAAACACATTAAAATCCTTTAACTCTTAGTTGTTGAGCTATGCTCTTAACTTCAATCAGGTGATTTTACAGAAATATTTTTTTAAAATGAAATAGACCTCAGTTATTACAAATATTTACTTGTGAGTCTGTTTCAATGTTAAAACTGCATTTTGTCTTTTGAATGAATTGTTTTTAAATACCCAAAGTCTTTTGGCATGACCAAAGAAACAGACTCTCTTGAAAATCCTTACACAACAATCCAGGTACCAGTAATAAAGAGACTTTTGTTCAAATAGCCCATGCAACACAGACTTCATCAGACTTGACTTGATTGTCAACTTATTTTATTCATTATTTATGCACAATCATCTACTTGAATAATAAAAAATTTAGACAGCATCTCTATGAAAATTACAATTGTTTGTTATTATTTGGCATAAGAGCTTCTTTCCAAAGTAATGTAAGAGGCATGACTTCCTGGATCATTAAGACTTTCATTTGGCCAGAGGGTTATCAACTAGTTAATATGGAAGTGTTGGGTAAAACACTGATTACCTAAGGTATTAATGACCACAGCTAAATCTCCCTTAAAAAAAATAAATTACAGTGAAGCAAGCTAAATCAAATGCTAGTAAGTCCAAGTAACCATATTAGTATGTCTTAACTTCATGCACACACAAAACCTGAGTTCATTCCAAATGAAATTGTTAGTTGTGCTTCTGTTATGGTTTTATAGCTATGGCAACGGTAAATCATCAATTGAACTTCACTACTAAAGCATTCAGAGACAAGGGTGGGGAGGGAAAAAAGATTTTTACACTAAAAAGAATTAGAACTGAAAGTAGCACTGAAAAGGGGACTGAAATTTATATCCCATGAACACAGTAAAAAGCTGCCTTTGAGATGGTGCAGTCCTCCCCCCATTTATTTGTTCTGTCAACCAGAAGCATTCCTTCAAACTCATTTCACAAACCTCTCCCTTTCTATTGATACATTTTCATATCTGTTCCCCCCATTATGTTAATTGACTGTTGTACAGAATTTGTGACTGCTTCAAGACTTTGATATTTATGGCTACTTCCCATTCTGTTAATTTTTAATACAAAGCATTTTATTACATTCAACATCGTGCAACTTAGGCACTAAAATAGAAACAGTAGGGACTGTGAAGATGTTATAAGAAATTTTATTACCATGGATTTCTATACAACATCACCATTAAATCAGACAAGTCTGGTGGACTGTAGTACAATGATGAGGACTTGCTCTCTGTGCAGGAAAATTACATTGCTTCCGAAGGGGATGCTGCTGAGGCAGCCTGTTGGCCAGGAATAGATGCCTTCAGTCAGTCAACAGCTAATTAAAAGCTGTGCAAAGCAGGCCCTTATCTAAGCTCTTCCTGAACTAAAAGGGAGGCTGCAACAGGAACTTGTCAGTGGGAAGCTGTAAAGATTCATCACTTGGACATGGACTTCACAGTAGTGACCCCAGACAAATGTGGAACAGGAATCCTGTGTTTCAGCAGCAATTTGACAGCTGTCATCATATTTCAGAGGGGGGAAGAAATAAGGATTAATGGGTTTTTAAACAGTCATTTTGTACAAGTACAGTCTTGATAACCAAATTATTTCCTTCACATGATCTACACAACTGAGTCTGTGCCATTCTTATGAACGTCATACAAATTCTAATTCTTTATTACTTCAACCTAGGCTTTTCATATTTTGTTTAATACTAGAATGTATTTATCTTGACTGTAGGAAAAATGTAATTGAAAGGAGGCATATGTGCTGGCCAAACCTAATCATACTTTAGACGAACTCCACAAACATCTTGACAAAGAAAAATCCACAAAAGAACCTAAGAAGTTGAGGTATTTGGAGGTTTCTTAGGCTCTTACATTAACAAACACACAACTTTATCCCACTACTTCAACATAGGCTTTTCAGATTTTGTTTAATACCAGAATGTATTTATCTTGACTGTAGGAAAAATGTAATTGAAAGGAGGCATATGTGCTGGCCAAACCTAATCATACTTTAGACGAACTCCACAAACATCTTGACAAAGAAAAATCCACAAAAGAACCTAAGAAGTTGAGGTATTTGGAGGTTTCTTAGGCTCTTACATTAACAAACACACAACTTTATCCCAAGTCTCTTGAAACTCCACAAGCATCTCCTTGACAAAGAAAAGTCCACAAAAGAGCCTAAGAAGTTGAGGTATTGGGAGGTTTCTTAGGCTCTTACATTAACAAACACACAACTTTATCCCAAGTCTCTTGCTAATTAAGTATGCTGCATCCCAGTAAAGACTGAGTATTAACATAACCTTGTAAAACAAATTTTGGAAAATCATGATGAAAACCTTCAAGAATCATGTAAAAGCAGGGATGCACTAAGGCATAGCTGCAAATCCAGGCCTAACACACATTAAGACATTTGAGCTTTGTTAGGTTCAAAAGGCACAACTGAATACCTCTTTATCTGCTGACTGCATTTGTGTGTGCATGTGTGTGTGTATTTGACATGAAGTCACAAGGCCTGCACTTTCACTAAGGATAGACTTGCCTAATTTTGCTCTGGTGTGCTGCTTATCAATTCACATTAGGCAGTCTAACTGCCCATTGCGGCTACATTTCCTTCACATACTCAAAGGTCCTTAAGTTCTGATTCTAAAATATCAGGATGGTTTATAAGTAACAAAGCTAGGAGTTTTATGATGCTGTAAATCATATCTGCCCTTGAGGGCTGCACTGACCTAATTTCTCAAGCATTATAATAATCACATTTCTTAAAAAAAAAAAAGGCACAACACACAAAAACCCAAAGCTTGCATGCACATACCTAGCCTCAGCAAACAGCTAAGAGAGGTGCAGTTCCAGTGAAGAATAACAGATTAGTTTTGTTGCACTGATCCCTGTCAAAAGTTGAAAATGTAATTAAAGAGGCACAATGAGAAGTTGCTAAGTCTAAATGATCATGCTGAAGTGTTCATTACAAAAGAACTTCTGAATAGGAAGGCCAGTGGGCACTTCCAAATAATGCTGCAAGGAGAGGTCTGCTTATAGTTACAAGTGAATGTTCATGGACATCTGGCAGAAATATTGTAGTGTTTCAAGTGTGTTTTTAAATGCCCACTAAAATGGCTACAAAATACAATATTATTTCCTCCCACAGATTGAAAAAGCTTCTTGAACAAGAGACAGTATATCAGGCAAAAAAAGAAAAGGAAAACAACAAGAAAATATCTAAATTGAAAGAAGAATTGACTAAACTGAAATCCTTTGCTTTAATGGTGGTGGATGAACAGCAAAGACTCACTGAGCAGTTGAATCAACAAAGTAAAAAAATTCAAGAATTAACCACTTCTGCAGAACAAGCACACAAAAAGTTGACTTTTGCTGAAGCAAAAATTCAAGAAGAGAAACAGAAATCCAGCAGGCTGGAGGTTGAAATTCACGCCCAGAGCAGTAAGATTTCCCGAGACCAAGAAGCGATGATGGCCAAACTAACCAATGAAGACAGTCAGAATCGCCAGCTCCGGCTAAAATTAACCACTCTCAGCCGGCAAATTGATGAGCTGGAAGAGACCAACAAATCTCTACGAAAAGCAGAAGAAGAACTGCAAGACCTAAGGGATAAGATAAATAAGGGAGAGTGTGGGAACACTGCACTTACGGCTGAAGTTGAAGAGCTACGGAAACGACTGCTGGAGATGGAAGGAAAAGATGAAGAACTCACAAAAATGGAAGATCAGTGCAGAGAACTTAATAGAAAGTTAGAACAAGAAGCATCACAGAGCAAGAACCTTAAAGGGGAAGTGGATAAACTTAATAAAAGAATTATGGAGCTGGAGAAACTAGAAGATGCTTTCAACAAGAGTAAACAGGAATGTTACTCCCTGAAATGCAACCTAGAAAGAGAAAAAATTTTAACAAAGCAGTTGTCCCATGAGCTGGATGGTTTAAAAGCTAGAGTTGGCGAGCTTGAAGCCATTGAAAGCAAGTTAGAAAAAACTGAGTTTACACTTAAAGAAGATTTAACAAAGCTGAAGAGTTTAACAGTGATGCTTGTGGATGAAAGAAAAACTATGGGTGAAAAAATAAAGCAAACAGAAGAAAAGCTGCAAGCTGCAACTTCTCAGCTTCAGGTGGAACAAAATAAAGTGATGTCAGTTACAGAAAAGCTGATGGAGGAAAGTAAAAAGGCACTGAAATCAAAATCTGATGCAGAGGAAAAAATGTCCAGTGTTACAAAAGAAAGAGATGAATTGAAAAACAAACTCAAAGCAGAAGAGGAGAAAGGAAGTGATCTTGTTTCCAAAGTGAATATTCTGAGTAAAAGACTTCAATCTTTGGAAGATGTTGAAAAAGAGTTTCTTAAAAGTAAACGTAGGGAGAGTACTAAATCTAGCACCTCCTTGCAGCAGGAAAACAACATAATCAAAGAGCTTTCTCAAGAAGTTGAGAGGCTTAAGCAGAAGCTCAACGAAATGAAGTCAGTAGAAGATGATCTTATGAAAACTGAAGATGAATTTGAGTCTCTAGAACGAAAATATGTCAGTGAACAGGACAGAGCCAAGCTCCTCTCAGAGGAGTTGGAGGCTGTGAAAATGGAATTGGCGAGGTATAAATTAACGGAAAAGGCAGAGTCCAATCAGGAGCGCCTTTTTAAGAAACTCAAAGAAGAGGAAGCTAAATCGAGTCACCTTTCCAGAGAAGTAGATGCACTGAAAGAGAAAGTTCATGAATATGTGGCAACAGAAGACTTAATCTGTCACCTGCGAGGTGATCACACAGTCTTACAGAAGAAACTCCTCCAGCAAGAAAACAAAAACAGGGAGCTAGCAAGAGAAATGGAGAGCCTCACGAAAGAACTGGAGAGGTACAGATCCTTCAGCAAGAACATCAGGCCCGGTCTCAATGGAAAGAAAATTCCAGATGTGCAAGTTTTTTCTAAAGAAATCCAAACAGATCCAGCAGACAATGAACCACCCGATTACAAAACCCTCATGCCTTTAGAGCAAACGGTCATAAATGGGCAGCTCTATGAAGACAGTGATAATGAGGAGGAACAAACAGCATCTTTGAAAAGCAACTCATCCACTGCAAATGCTGGAAACAAAAAATTATGGATCCCTTGGATGAGGTCCAAAGAGAGCCATCCTCAAAATGGAAAGATACACACAAAGCAAAATGGAAACTGTGCACAGACTGGAGATCTAGTGCTAAGTCATACACCTGGCCAACCCCTTCACATAAAAGTAACTCCAGACCATAGACAGAACACAGCAACCCTTGAAATAACCAGTCCTACCACGGAAAGCCCTCACTCCTACACAAGCACAGCAGTTATACCCAACTGTGGCACTCCAAAGCAAAGAATAACCATTATTCAAAACGCCTCCTTAACACCTGTAAAATCAAAAGCAGGAGAAGGTTATGTGACACCAGAGCATGTAATTTCTCCTATTACTATGACTACTACTTTTGCAAGATCTCAAACTCCTGAATCGTGTGGTTCTTTAACTCCTGAAAGAACAATGTCCCCTTTGGCTTTACCCGGCTCAAGTTCTCAGGAACAAACACTCTCCTCGGAGCCTTTGGAAATGGGAGCCAAGCACGCTGTTTTTAGAGTATCCCCAGACAGGCAGTCATCATGGCAGTTTCAGAGATCTAACAGTACAGGATCAAGTGTAATAACTACTGAGGATAACAAGATCCACATTCATTTAGGAAGTCCTTATGTCCAAGCTCTCACCGCTTCCAAGCCCATCAGCCCTTGCAGTGCAGTGCAAGACAGCAGAACTCCAGCACTAGCTAATGGCCTACCCACTAAGCCCACCAATAAAATCACCAGCAGTATTACTATCACACCAACAGCCACTCCTCTTCCACGGCAATCACAAATTACAGTAAGTAATGTCTATAACTGACCCCCATCCATGCTGACACCCTTACCAGCAACCCATCCTGTTTTTCATCCCAGCGAGAATTATTTGGAACAGCCTCTTTACTTTGGGAAAGTTCTGTGCATGAACTGTACAACAGCATATGGAACTAACGTTAAGTTTTGCCTGCTTAGTGTTATCAAGTGTGCACTTACTGTATATCTTCTCATTGAAATACAGTTATGTAAAATATTTAGTCTTGCACTTGTATAAATGCATCTTTATGTATTGCCATTTTCAAAATAACTCACATTACTTTTGACTGCAACTTGCCTTGGTAAAATATTTTAACATTACAAAAAAAACCAGTAAATAATTATTTTCATCATTGCTTGCTGAATATTTTTTGTTTGTTTTGTGTGGTTTGTATTTTTTTTGCATGTATGGTAGAATTTGAATTAAGCCATAATACTGCCTGCTAACTTCAGATAAGACTTGTTTCATTATCTTCCCTGCTATTTCCCAATTCCTTCTAGCCCTCTCATTTCAGGTAATTATCAGTACATCACACACAAAATATTGTGTATTGTACAATGTTTGGTTAAAATTCTTTTTAAACCCTCATGCAAACTTTGCTTGTAAGTGAACCAAGTTCAGAAGCTTGTATCACAAAGTAATTCTCCCCAAACAAAGGTTTTTTTTTTCCAGTACAATAGAAAAACTGCAATCATTTAGGTATGCTGTAAAACAAGAAACAGCAACATTTGAATTTCTAAACAATAATTCAGGAGAATAGATTTACATACAATATTCAGATTTCATCTAAACTCCTAGCCACAAATCTGACAAACAGTATACATCACACAAGTACTCTGAAGAAGAAACAGGATTACCAAACTATGGCATACCTTCAAGTTTTTTACTTCAGACAGAGAAAGCTTGGCAGAAGCATTAAGAAGCAATACTAGATCAAGTCTCCAAAGATGCAGGCCTCTGGGTCTGGTATAAATAGGAGTGCCATACAGAATTGACAAAGCAGGTTAAGGTATTTCAGTGACAATTACAGTATTTGTGCCTGGGAAAAGCACAGAAATTTAATGTGCCAAACAGTCAGTTTCCCATGAAGTATTGCTAGTGGTGGAAGAGCTTCACATACAACGTAAATCAGTCCAGAAGATCTGGAATGCACATTCAAAATCCTCTTTTTCACAAAGACTGTACACTCCAAATCTAAATTGTAACAATTGTTCTTATTCTAAAAAGTTCTATTCTATTTTTTAGAATAATATTCTAAAATATTCTATTACATTCTTTTATTCTAAAAAAGCTATATTCTAAATGCCCATAAATTTGATGCTTTCAGGGGGGTGTTGGTAGTATGCATTATTTTTAAAAAATTTAAAACTGCAACCTCCTAATCAACAAGGAAGTTTGCAAGTAGGCAGAAAGTCCCTATTCACTAAACCCTTATCTTTATTCTGCCTATATTCCCAAGAGGAAAAGAATATTTCTGCAGTATAACTTAGCAACGGATTCAGCAAAGAACCTTGGCCTGTGATCTCACATAACAAGAGAACTTCTATCATTTTAAGTCCTTTTGATTGACAGGAAATTAAATGTTTATAACTGTAGATAATAACTAACTTTTAGAACAGTTTCCATTGAAAAGCAAAGTCCACTGCCCATATACACTTTTTTCAGTAAACAGTGGGAACAAGAAAAAAAAATTATATATGTGATAGAAATGGATAACAACATATGTATTAGAGTTGAACAATGGCAATTTCAAAAAGAGAAATTGTGTGTGGAACTGCACAACCCCAGCTTATATAATCTGAAGTTACTAGGCTTCCTAAAAGGTCCTTCTTCCTTGTTTTGTCTCACTATCTCCATGGCTGCACAAGTGAGCTCTGACCAAGACCTGGGTCAGAAAGAGTACTGAATACTCTTATTCTGCAAAGCAAACTTCGACTCACACCTACTTCAGCAAAAGTTGCTGTTGAAGACAGTGGCCAGAACTCAGGCAAAGCATAATTATAAAATTTTTAGAGCATGTTAATTATACGAGCAAGCTACCTAATTACATTCAGGCTGCACATTCCTAACTGCAAGGCTCAGTTAAGAGCCCAAAAATCAGTACCTTCAAAATACATTCTCTGCACTTCTGTTCTTTAGGATAGCGCATATCCTGCTGATCTATACCTAAGATCTCTGCAGGAACACATTACAAGCATGGTACTGAATAACTGTGTCTGAAGTAGTCACATGCCAGCATACTAACAGACACCAAATTCTCCCAAAATTAAAAGACTAATGCTTGTCCTCCAGAGACACTAAAATTTTCTTCAGCTAGACCTAAAAAGCGTGTAGGAAAAAAAATTCAGATCTACTTTCAAAAATACACAGAAGTGTGTTGATCATTAACCACCTGGCCACCTATTAGAACATCTTATAAAAGAAAAGTACAAATAAGGGCATAGCAATAAGCACACACAGTCCTTTGGACAGTTACCAAGCTATTATGAATAAGGAAGTCCAGTCTTTAAAGCTCAGATTTGAATACAAAACCTAGATGAAAGTTCACACCATTTGTAAGTATAATCATTTAACAGGAAAGTACTTCATTCCCTGTCTTACACTCATAATGATTTATCAGCAACTGTCTAATTAACAAAAGACAAAGGAAGCAGCCACTCATGACATTAACTCCTAAGTAAGAAGCATCAGCACTGACTGGAAATAAAATTGCTACATTTCCTAAAAACGCACCTTGATTAAGGGATGCTTATATTCCCCTGCTGATGAAACAAACCCTGTGTAGATTTAAGTGACTTCACAGCAAAATTTTTGTTAGTCAATCCAACAGATTAAAAAAAAAATCGAATAATTATTTTTGCCTGAAAATAAGGTTTGCACAGTGAAACAGATTTGTTCGGTTTGAATTGCCAAGATCAATATAAAAGCAGAGAAAATAAGCACTTGGATGTACTTCCTGAGAGCTGAAACATAATTGTTTAAACAGAAAGAAGTTAGCTGTAATTTTATCATAAAATAGCAAATAGAAAGCATAGCTTAAGGAAGCAAATTACTGAATTACAAATTAACCTTGAGTTGTTCAGATCACCACTCCATATATCAGAGTGTTTCCATTTTGCTGAGTGGAAATAGCCACCTGCTTCCTTGGCAGACAATAAGAAAACAGCAGAGCAAGGAGAAATTTGACTAAGTTATCTGCACATTGATTCAAGCACTCTGAACAAAAAACATCAAGCATAATCATATTAAAGTTTGACAAGTAAGGCAACTTTTCTAGGATTTCAACGACCCTGTAAGTGGTAAGTACTGCTTAATTTGGAGGCTGAGACACTTTTGCTTTCAGCAGTTGCTCAAAAGCCTAAAGTCTGACAGGTATGTAATGGTTCATTTAAATGTTACGGGGAAATAAGGTCACATAAAAAGAAGCATTTATCAGAGGGATTAAGCTGTGAAAGAGAGCATAAAAACAGTTTTCAGCAGATCATAATATCAATTCTTCTCTTTTCCAAAACTCTTGGCAAGCATCTCTAAGGTCTAAAAATCTACCCTTTCTCCTTTGTGTTTAGTTAACGACTCTGTAAGTGGTAAGTACTGCTGTTAATTTGGAGGCTGAGACACTTTTGCTTTCAGCAGTTGCTCAAAAGCCTAAAGTCTGACAGGTATGTAATGGTTCATTTAAATGTTACGGGGAAATAAGGTCACATAAAAAGAAGCATTTATCAGAGGGATTAAGCTGTGAAAGAGAGCATAAAAACAGTTTTCAGCAGATCATAATATCAATTCTTCTCTTTTCCAAAACTCTTGGCAAGCATCTCTAAGGTCTAAAAATCTACCCTTTCTCCTTTGTGTTTAGTTCCCAGCAAAAGGGAGAATTAACTGATTAAAAAATGACAGCAGTTACCAGCCTACTTTCCTTCACCATTTTGGGTTTATTGCAGTGAATGATCAAATGCACACAAGAGAAGGCAGCACCAACACTTTGTTGTTTATGCCATTCTTTATATGTGATTAAATTTCTCAGAAGAAATACTTGCAATTTTTGTCCTTACAGGGAGGATGGATGAGGGGAGGGAGGGAAAAGGAAAAAAAGCAAAAAGAAGAGAATACCAAGCGATAGTGGTAATCTGAGACCAAAGCACCCATCCATCAACTATGAGGTAGTATTTCAAGTTATTTAAAGACCTCCTTCAAGACACTAATTAAGAAAAAGAATTGACAAAAATTACAGGAGCAGACTGCTAATCTTCCTGATACAAAGCCCCATAGCCAATATGGTGTGTCTGGGGACAGTATGTAAGACTGTAATAAGAAAAAGATCTGTATGTAAGCATTTCATGCAAGGATTAGGAAGGCGTGCTCCCCACACCAGGGAAAAAATAATCAGAAACAGAATTGTACAGCACTATTTTCTGAATAAGATTCAATGGATGCTGCAGGGTTAGATGATGGAAATGGAGTAACCATCTGCAGGATGACTTTGTCCCTAGGAAACAGATATTGAGGCAGGCAAAACAAAAACTGACAACTGCCTAATCTCCAGGCTTAAGGAAAGACTACCAAAACATTATGTTACCAAGAAACAGAAGAGAAAATTATCTTATGGTTCAAATACAGCAAAGTGGGTGTATAAAAATGTTTTAAAATTAACACCAAGTTCTTTAAGTGGGAATTTGCTCAAAAAAAAAAAGGCAAACCATAAAAATTTAAGCAGCGTGAAGTGTTTTCACAGATCTGCAGCCAGTGGCCCCAAGATGAAGCTGAATTCTCTCTGTGCTGTAGCTAGCACATTATCCAATGACCCACCATACTGCGGGCACTCAGAAAGCCTCAAACAGCAGAGTTGCCAACTGAATATGAGTCTCTTCTGACCACAAAGCAAAGTATTCCTGAGAAACGTTTTTTGAGTTCAAGTGAAAAGACCTCTTTTAATCAATGTCTCTTCATTTCCCATGCAGTGATCTGACATCACAGGGTATTCAAACAGGGAT